GTGCGTGGGGCAGTAGCGGGCATGGGCACGGAGGGGTGGCAGATGACCGGGAGCGGCTGCAGCAGGAGGGGCGCCCCCTGCCCGGACGCGTTGGGTGAGGGCAGGCGGACGGGTGTAGGAACGCTGACTGCTCTCTCTGCCCCTCCTGCTGCAGGTGTGCTTCATCGGCCGGAGTAACGTGGGGAAATCGTCTTTAATCCGGGCCCTGTTCTCACTGTCTCCAGAAGTGGAGGTCAGAGTGTCAAAAACTCCAGTAAGTGACGTTTTTAACTTCAGCAGCCGGTGCCAGCCCAGATAGGGCTGAGAAGGGTGGGAGGAAACTTGGGTAACTTGGCACAGACCTCTCTCCAGCAAAGGAAAAGGTGGAAAGAGCCCAGCTTCGCTCTTCAGGCAGGGCTGGCACAGAAGAGTCATACGAGGTGAGCAGATGTGCCATAATGCCCTTTGGGAAGAACCAAGCACAGAGACCTGTGAAGGTATTTTTAGTTTGTTTTAAGGGTAGAGTCGCATAGGATCGCTACAAGGGTAGGAGACTTGGCAGCTTAAAGCAACAGTAGTAGCATTTTTGCAGCCTTCTTGGGTGGGGGTTGAGGGTGGCAGGGTATGCTACACAGATGTTTTGCAGGGCATCTCCTAGTCCACTGCTTAAAGCAACGTTTTAAAGCCATCCCCTTCCTTCATCTTACCTAAATCATCTCCCCAGGGCCACACCAAGAAGATGAATTTCTTCAAAGTAGGGAAGTACTTTACTCTGGTGGATATGCCAGGATACGGCTACCGTGCCCCGCAAGACTTTGTGGAGATGGTGGAGGCCTACCTGCAGGAGCGACGCAAGTAAGGGACTTAACTGTACCTCTGCAGAGCAATGAAAACCAGACACCTATCTACAGTGTCATGTAATTAGGTGAAAAAGTGCAGGAGGGGTAGCTGCTTCCAGTGGTAGTATTGATTATTTCTGATGTCACTTTCCTGGGAACCTCTGTGGTGTCACTCATTCGTGCTTAGAGAGATCAAAACCACAGAAGAGACTGAGGTGCTGCTCCCTGCTGACCCTCAGCTCCCATCCATGGCGTTTCTTGTCTCTTCCTATCCCCAGATCGCATGTTAATTGTTCTTGCTTATGAATTTAGAAGTAGCAGAGCAGGCATGGAATAATGGTGTTGATTACTGTTGCTTGTATTTCTGGCAGCTTGAAGAGGACTTTTCTATTAGTTGATGGTGTAGTGGGACTCCAGAAAACAGATCATATTGCAGTAGAGATGTTGGAAGAGTTTGGGATTCCTTATGTGGTAGGTAATGCTTTGTTCTTATGTTGGTTATAAGCTACAGATAATCTGTAAAGGTGTACCCTCTACCTGAGCTTATGCAAGTTGTCCTACCTAAGTAGTAACCCCCCACTTTACTGTTAATAAAATAGGCCTAAAATGTGTTGGGGGGGGGGGCAAATGGGATTTAAGGGATTTTTGCTAGGTTTACTAAATGGGCACTTTTTTTTCAGTGCTCAGCTTGAGGAGCTTAAAAAGGTCCACTCCTTATGCAGGCTATAAAGTGTTTTGGTGAACTGTATTATACCATTTTTCCGCTTAGATATGATGCAGAGCTTTCAGCCTGCCTTGCAGGATAGTCCAGCACTCTTACAGATGTTCCAGGCTAGCAGCAAAATAATCTTCTTTGCCTCTTTTAATCCTCTTTTCCTGGATCCATGCAGATGGTGTTAACAAAAATTGACCGAGCTTCCAGAGGACTGTTGTTAAAGAACGTACTGGGGATCCAGGATTTTGTAAAGGAGAAAACTCAGGGATGCTTTCCTCAGCTATTCCTGGTCAGGTAAAGCTCATCTCCATCGCTGCCATTTCCTTTCAGGTGATGGTTTGCAGTAGGGCAAAATACCTGAAATGGGTCTGTCTGCTCCAGAGGTGGCACTTCTCTGTGCCCCAGGGATGGAGGGTGGGCTGCTGATGGAGAAACGCCCCTTGCCGCCTTCTTCCCACTCCTCTGCAAGTGAGCGCAGTCCAGTTTTCAAGGCTGCTCTTCCTTTGGCCTTTCTCTGAGGGGGGCAGAAGTGCCTGTGTTGCATGTTGGTGGGCTTTGCTATTTTGTTTGGAGTTGTGTTAACAATAGCAAGCTGTAGTTGTTTGATTATGTAGCTGAAGTGCTTAATTTACCAAGGTTGTACTGCCCTGCAGGAGATGTAATTTAATGCAGCCAGTTGCTGAGTGTGCTTGCGTTACTCCAAGACACAGCAACCTCTGGCACTGAATATCCATGCCTTCGTTTCCACAGTTCTCTGGAATTTTCGGGGGTTCACTTGCTAAGGTGTTTTGTAGCCCATGTTACTGGAAACCTGCCAACTGTAGAGGCCAGCTGAAAAGACTGGCTCCTGATCTGCTTGGCTCACCCAGAACAAAAGGTACCAAAACTAGAGGTGTGGATTTTCGTTGTAAATAACCGAGGTACTAGAATTTATTTTTTTTACAAACTTGCATAAATTTTTGGATAAATTAGTATTTGTAAGGCTAAGCTTTTTGTTTAATAAATGTATCAATTCAGGAAGTTTGCATATGAATGAATACAGGTTATTACAAAACTGTTTTATAAAACCTACGTGATTGTTCTAAGAAGAAAAAAGCAAAGAGAACCTCCAAAGAGAAGCTAAGTTTTAATACAGCATTTCCTCTCCCTCCAGCTAAATGTTAAAAAAGCTACCACTGCATGCCTAAGCTCTGCTATATTCAGGATACTAGAGACAGTCTAGTAATTTCATGAAAAAAGGCATTTAGTTTAGAAAACTATAGTCCTAACACTAAGCAAACTGTACTGGCCCCGGTGAATTGAATGCTACACAGAGGTTTGCTTCTCTCAGCTTATATAGCAGGGGCCAAAAACCAGCACTTGTGCAATCTGCCTGCTCTAAGGCCATCTGGAGTAGAAATAGCCTGTGTGTGTGAACACCTTGTCTGTGAAGGTGTTTTAAGGACTACTTCTATGTCTTACTTTTGTAATTCCTCTGCATTGTGCGTTCAGTAGGTGCAGCGTGATAGCACGACCCGCTTGCGTTTGTCGAGTTCTCCCTGTTCCAAGTGGATGAAGGAAAGGACGCATCTTTAATGGGATCTGCTTTTTGATCGCTGTTGGCTTGAAACAGAGTGGAATAAATGACTGACACCTAGGGGAACCCTCTCCTCGTGCACTTTATCATCCATCAGTTGCTGCATCTACCTTCCATTTTAAATACAGCATGAACTTCTGCAGCTGCACTCAGAGGAATTGCCAGAGGTGAGACACATTGTCCATTATCTGCATCTGTTCTACCCTGGCAGCTGAAGCACAATACTGATGTCCCGTATGCGTCAGGAGCACTGCAGCAGCTGGCACAGCTGTGTCCTGCAGCAGCTAAAAGCACCTGAAGTTGGCTTGTTACAAGGCACAGAATTGGAAAAAATAAAAGGACTGCATTTATAGCAGCAGTTGTTACAAAAGAATTTAGACTAAAACTATTAAGTGCCTGTGTCAAACTCTGGCACTCAATCTTGGGATGTCTTAACATTGCCAAATGTGTGTATGCAGCTGTCAAAGTTACTTACATTAAGTGTTAAAACCTCAAGAAAGGACAGGTCTTTTGTGAACCACTCTGAGGTATTGCTAGTGTTTTGTTTCATTATGGAATTTCTTCTCACTCTAATTAGACATGAAGTGAGGTCTGTTTTCAGCATACATGTAGGAAGTGGGGTGGGTGGGGAACACAGTAGAAACATGCCGATGTCTGGTTTCCACATCTTAGCGGAGATCAAACCTGTAATTCTTCAGTATTTTATCTCTAATCCCAAAGTGCTCCAGAGCAAACCAGCCCATAGGATGCTTGATCCCAGGGAGAAGTGCAGTAGTATCTAGACAGATGGAACAGGTACAAGTGAACACTTCAGAAATAATCTTTTTGTAGTATCTTAAAACCAGGATCTTCCAAAAGCATCAGTCTCACCAAGGCTGTCGTTCTCAAGGCCTCAGCCTGGACTGAAAAGCCTCTGAAAATAAGTCTGTGTACGTAAAAGAAAGTGCAGTTCCGGTTTCAGTCCCTCTTGAGAGCAAAACACCTTCCAGTGCCAGAAAGTCTTTCATTAACCACTTAAATACATTCAGTGTGTTTGTCCATTTGTATAAAGTCCTTTGAAATGGCAGCAGACTGAACTGGACCTCATGATCCTTGTGGGTGTGCATAGTTGCCATGAGGTGTCCTTAGCGCAAGCCACGTGGAGCTATGTCATACAGTTTCTTACAGCTGTACTAGAAACAGTAGATACAGTCTTATCCTGAAGAACGAGCTTTACCTTTGGACACATCTGGATTTTCTGCTGTATTGGTCAGATCTTCATTAACAAATGCTTCAAATACTGGAATACCTTGCATTTTCCTCAGCCATCTGCAGGACGGAATGCCATAGTTTTATTTCACGCAAGAATCAGTGCCCCTGTGACAGTGTTTTTGTTTAGGCTGGGCTGGAGACTAAATGAATGCCAGATGTTCTCTTTAAAGGTAGAACAAAACCAGTTTTCTTTTCAGTGATTTTACTTTTCAGTTAAGTCTCTTCTAACTATAAACATCAGTCCTTATCAATGCTAGAAGCAGACACTGTCTGAAAATCATACTGTTAATTTCAGAGAATGCAGTTAGTTAGAGACTTAACTGAGAAGAAAATTGGTTTTGTTCTACCTCAAACCAAAAAATCAAGTGTTCTCCTTCACTTAAACATTAAAACTTACATTTAAGTGTCTTCATGGGAACGTGGTTTGGGTAGACAGGCTCCTGATGCACTAGCATACTTTCTTGCCAAGTTCTTAAGGAATGTGCTGTGTTGCTGAGTGAGGAACGGTGCTTTCTCAGGCCAGGGCCCCAAAAGCCCTCCCTTTTTTTCCCCCACTCATTCATTGACAGTGGGCCTGGCAGCATACTGAAGCAGTAGAGACCATTTCAGTTTTAAATGTTTTTGATGTCTTAAATTGTTTGCAGTGTATACACCACACTGCAGGCACTCAGCGTTATCTTGTAAAGCTTTGCCTCTTCTGCACCTGTCACTTGCAGAAGTGACGTTGATTACAGGGTTTTATGGAAAAGGCTTTTCCCTTGTGGATCACTCTGGTCTTTCAGCAGTATTTTCTCCTTTTTCTCTCTCTGCTGTGTCTGGTCTAGTCTGTCACTATAACCCTGGCACTACAAGGCCAGTATTTTCACCATATTCTTGCAACGGTTCCCTACAGTCACTATAGTGTAGAATGTATTTTAGTAGGAACCTTGACCAGATACTACATCAATAATTCTGTTAATATGAATGAAGTAACCTAAGCAGGTTTCTTAGTTATTTTAAAAGGGGGGGGAGGGGAGGGAGGGAGAGAGTTAGCAGGTAGATATTTCAGATTTAGCCTCTCTGAGGCATTTACACAGAGAGGCAACATGCACTAAGGCAGAAAGACCTAGCTCTGGTTTACTGTCACTTTGAAGGTTGTTTCGGTGTTGCCTTCTTTCACTCTTTTTCTTGTCTAAGGTCTTGCTCCTTGGGCTCAGCATTGTTCTCAGACTCTGCTCAGAAAAAGGATGTATTCCCGTGGAGCCCTCTGGTACACTATGAAACAAATTTTGGATGCCAAACAGAACGTGCCAAGTGTTAAATACAGACAATTAATTCTGCATTAAGTGGGGTGGCTGCCCATGAGCAGGAAGGTACTGCTACCTCAATTATCAAAGTTCCTGGCAAGAGAGGAAACAGAAATTTTAGCAGCAGCTAATGTGTTCAGTCTGTATCACTGGCTAACTAGTGCCTGAGATTACTTTAGTAGCTGCTTATCCCAGCTATAACATGGTACTGTATTTTATGGGGAAATTGTAGCTGTTTCTGTGCAAGCAGGGACAAACCCGGGGAGACATACAGCTTCTTACATCATTCTCCTGTTTAAGTGTTTCAGAAACAGAGCAAGACCAGAACCCATTTACAGAAGAAGCCGAGGAGAGAGGAATAAGTTGTGGCTTAACCAAAAGGTTTTAATAAACAATGATTAAATGATGATTAGACAATGGTCAAACACTCTACTACTTACTACATTTCCAATAATTAAGCTAGCTTGTAGACAATATGCTTTAGATCTAATGTAAAGTGTCATTTACCTCGCTGTAGATACCGTATGCCGGGTAAAGGATCTCTCAACCTCGTGGACTAACCTTAAGAGGCGTCAAGGGAAGATCACCGCTGTGCAGCCTGTTGCCATGCAAGAGAGCTCAGCGGGCTGTGGTGGCCGCAGATATTTAGTGTAAAGTGACTGGCTTGTGGTCAAACTCCCCTTTGGTGTACATGCAACTGTGCCAGTCTAGCGGCTGTAGTTTTGTCTGGTCCCAGCTCAGGCTGGTACTGTTAGTTCCTGATAAGACACGACCTAAATTCCTTAAGATCCTGAGAAGATATGGCCTAGCACAATCTCTCAAGGTTTGTACAACAGGGCTGACTTCACTCTGGGCTACTTGTCGGTGATGCCTGAATCAAAGTACTGTTAATTCAGTCAGAGTGGGTGCACCTGTCACAGAGGCGTGACTTGCCTGTATGTAAGAAGCCACCCTCTCCACAACATGCTATAGCCAGTCCTGTAACTTCCTTTTATTCTCATCTGATGCATTCACAGCCAGTTCATAACTAAAACCAACACCAATAAAAAGTAAAGTAAGCTTCCCTTCCTTACCTACACAAGTGACTTTAATACCAGGTTTGGTAACTGCAATTTGATCTGCTTCTAAGAACTAGCCACAGCATTAAGCCTGTATGCACAGATTTATTTTAACACTAATTTAACACTGTCCAAGCACTTGTTAAATACGTGATCTCTACCTACTTCCGCTATAACTAGTCTCCTTACAAGCATCTCTTATATAAGCACTGAAAACTGTTTCGCTCAATAAGGTAATTATTGAGCAGCTATCAGCTTTTTACTTAAATATACAGCAGATTTTTTCAGGGAAGATAGCTTATGGTTTTGTATTCTAAGAATCTACAGTGGTGTTTGTGCACCTTGTGGCATGCTTACAAAGTTTATACAAGACAATAAAGCTACCACTTGCACAGACATAGCTACTTAAACCAGTATTTTCTTTGAAAAACATTGAGAATGATGGAAAACATATTATGCCAATAAGTATAAGGGGCAGGGGGGGGGAATAAATCTTAGCACTCTTCTTGCTAACACTGTTCCCCAATAATTATTCTCCACTGGTTCCTGTGTGATGAATACAGCGCTGCTGGACTGTCGCCCTCAACCCTGGTGCAAGCGCAGAACGTGGTGCCTTGGGATGGCACCAGCCCCGAGCTCCCTCAGGCAATGCTGTTCAGACTCAGACACCGAAAGGCACTGTACTCATTTCTTTTGAACTCATTCCT